AAGACTGCCACAGCAGCAGCCTGTACAGCTGGCCCAGGGACTGCCCAAGCTGCTCAGAAAGCCCCCAGGCCAGCCGCACCCGCCACTGCAGAAGTCACGGAGGCCCTGGAAAGTCATGGAACCCATGACTTCCTTGACAAACTCACAGCCTTAATTATTGTGTCTTTGTTGAGGTCTCCAAGCATATATAATGCTGTGTTCAAGGCCACAGCCTACATGCCAGTGCCTTTGGGAGAGTCTAAGTGTACATGATGATGCACGTGGCTGCACCTGCACTATCACCATCACCAACTATATGTGATACAGTTTCAGTACATCGTTGACTGCATGCTTTTTTCTGTTGTACATCAGAAAACTGTGGCCATCAATGGCAGAAATTAAAGGAAATACCGTAGGAAGCTGGAAAGCAAGAAATGACCTCCTTCCCCCCTCCACCTTCTCCCCCGCCCCATTAAACCACTTTACAGGATGGGAAGGTTTGTCAGACAAGCTGTAACTTTAATTCTTGTTCTTCCCTCCCTGTTTGCAGAATGCCTCCTGCATGCAGTACCCTGTAGAAATGGCTTTCTGTGGGAGGATACCAGCTCCGATATGAAGGTAGAAATGTGAGCCGCCTCATTTCTCATAGGTATCATATGTTACAATTTTATTCCCCACCACTTCCTTCTTCCTACCTGCCAGTGTAGGAATTTAATTTTCAGGGTTTCCCATGAGAAAGAGAAAAATGCTCTATCTCCTAAGGCCCACCTGTGCAACTGCAATAGGCACCGCAGCCCACTATTAACATGTGACAGTCAAGGCATGAGCAGCCCCTCACCTCAGCAGGGACCAGGGCCAGCGACACAGCCAGTCCCTGCCAACACCTTCCACCTCAGCAGCCCCCTAAGTACCCAAGCTTGTCACCCCGGAGCCCTGCCCTGATCCCTCACAGGCACGCCGTACCCAGAAGGGACAGAAAGGCTCAGGGGCCACCAGTACCAGGCAAAGTCAGGTGCTCAGTACAGCCAATATTGGATGGTCACGATTTTATAATTGTGCCTACGGAAACAAAGCGGCACCACCGAGACCCAGCCCTGGGGGCCCCCCTGCAAGGCCAGTAGTCCAGAGGGACCCCCAACAGCCACAGATTGCCAAGTGCAGCAGCTCAGACCAGAAACAGGCATGGACCTTCTGGCCTTCTCAAAATCATCCTGGGAGCAGCTGCCTCTCAGGGCCAGCTCCTTGTCCTCACTTTCCACCCACCATTTGGCAGCTCCACTTCATCCTCTGCTGCCCACCAGGGGCTCCAGGCTTCTTCAGCAGGGGACCATTGTCAGCCCCCACTCCACAGCTGGGGGGGAGGGGGCAGGCACTCCACAGTTTGGGGGGGCAGGCAATGCCCCCTTGAACTTCACCCCAGCAGAACACCTAGGACTCTGTCACAGCCCACAGTTTAGGAACTACAGATACAGAGCACCACCATGCCCCCTTTCTCCTGATGGGTGTGTTTCCTTAACAACTCTCTTCTTCAAAGGGAATTACCTCCTCCCTGTCTTAGGGAGCTGTAGCTCTCAATCCCCTCTTCTCTAGTTGTGTTTTTCCTCTGACTCCCTTCCCTACATATTGCACCCACTAACTACCCCATCTGACAAATGGGCGTGTCTCCTTTAAATTCAAACTTGAAGTCTTTCAGTGTCCTGTTTATGGACATCTCCTTTGAGCACCTCATTCCTACACTGCCTCTGAACCTTCTCTAATAACCTCCCAGTTGCAACACAGTTTAAACAGCACGGGACTCTACTACTTTCAGCCTTAGTAAAGTCTGTTTTCAGTGAGGCAGAGCACGCATCTTCCTCCCACCCTCATTATGAACAGTTGTCCGCCCTCTCACAAGTTACCACTGGTACCTAATGTTCTTCCTCCTGGACACAAGACACTGCTTGATGGTGGAGAGCAGAAAAGCCAGGTGGGTCAGGCTCTATTACATTCTATGGGACAAGCACCAATTACTAACCCAAGTTCCTGACACAGATAGTAACAGGGTTTAGGGTTGTCACCTTTCTTCCCAAGGGCAAATTTGAGATCAGTAAAATAGAATGACTGAGAACCAGCTATGCACTTAAGATCCGCAGTGGAACCACTGCCCTAGAGACAAGGCCTGGAATTGCAGAAGGTGTACTACCTTCCCCCCCTCCCACCTGCTGGAGCAGTTCAGGCTAGATACAAAGGAGTCAGCCCCCACTCCCTCAGCCCCACCAGTAGTCCAGGGCCACCCTTCCCCACCTATATGTAGACCAAGCAGACAAAGTAAGGGAGTAGAATTGTGTTTATTAGCAGAGAGAGTTCAAAGTACATGAGCTGGGTGCTATCCATGCCCAAGGAGAAGATTACAGTTGTGTTTATAGAGAAATGACACAAATCACATGTGTGAGACAGCCACTGAAGCCATGTGGCCAGGGAAGCAAGTCCCTTGCTTTATGTTCAGAAGAACAGGGGTGGGGGAATATTTTTTGCCCGCACACAAAGAACCACAAAGAGGGGAACAACATACAAAACAACAACAGGAAGATAAATAAAAGAAACAGCCCAGAGGCCTCAGCCCCAGAAGAACAGGAGGGATGGGGGAGGGGGCTTGTCCAAGAAAATTTGAGCAATACCTGCTGGCTTGGGAGCCCTGCATCATCTTGCTTGCCCTCCCCCCAAATTATGGCATCAGTACAATCAGGCCCTAGCTCCTCTTCAGCAGATGTACTTCTGTCCATCCATTTCCACAGCTCAGTTCGACAGAGGATAGTGGGAGGCATGCAGAACGAGGACTACTTCACTCCAGATCTTCGGTTTTGCCCTCCCCGAGATGGGGAGAGATAGGGAATTACAGGCATATGGACTCAGCGCAAATGAAATGCTGGTTCATGGAGGCGAGCAAGCAAAACCCATACCCTTCCCAGAATGTCCTATTGCAACAGAGTCTTTTCTTCCTTTATCAACATTCAGTCTACCTCACACCCATGAAACCCCACAGATGGCATCCTTCTTTCCAGCATCATTGGCCCCTGCACGTAAGTCCCAGTGCATTCTAATTCATAGCCAGGGCTCCCTGAACTGAGGAACCCTTCCTTTTGGTCTAGAATACAAGGAGCATTGCTCCTTCTCCCTACACTCTTCCCTCAGTGATTCTGTTTGAGAACAAAATACTCACAAGAGGCTCTGTAGGGACTTGCACACAAACTGTGCAGCTCATTTCATCCACAGAATTCACCTCAACACTTCAAGGACTCAGAGCAGCTGTGTAGCTCTTTTGTGCCTCCACTTTCCCATCTCTGAAGAGATGTAACTTACCCACAGAAGGTTATACAGTTTTACCTGCTCCCAACTCCCCACCTTCCCAGAACTGGACTAGATGACAAACTCTGGAGAGAGCCCAGTATAGACTCAAAAGTCTAAACTAGAGTTTCTAGCACTAGCGTATAGCAAGAGTTTTAGGCTTATGAACCAGGCAGATTTGCTGAGATCCAAGAGATGCTGAATATAGAGTTCTCAAGACATTTTCCCAAAGCTCTTTCTCAGAGCAGAGCTCTACTTTACTACCATTTTTTGTAACTCCTTCAGAGAATGAGGCTTTGGAGAAAGATCAGAGCAGAAGATGGGGACTTGCCCAGAAACACACAGGATGCAGTTGCTCAGCTGACTATTTAAGCAACAGAGACTCCCCACACCTGGGACCCCCCAACCCATGTCTCCCTTCATGCAACAGAATGAGGTACACAGCTTGATGAAGCAAGAAAAATCCAGAATTCCTACTCACTCCCCCTACCAGTCCTGTTTCCTCCATGCCCTGGACTTCCTCAGAATAAGGTGCATGCCAGTAGCTAACCAGGGTGACATCCTGACAAGTCTGTATCTGTTACAGGAATACCAACCCCTAATATAGCCACTGCTGTTGTCCTTGTGGCATAGGAAAAAGGGATCACCAACCCTTCTTGTTGCATTCCTGTGAAATGGAGAGCTGCCACAACAAGAGCAAGGCACAACCCATCAGTATCTGTGGGGAGCTGAAGGCTAAGTGACCACCATAAACTAGTTTAGACTTCAGCAGTTAAAGGGAAACTCCACAAGAGCTGAGGCCGGATGCTCTCCTCTGAGGTGAGGCTTTCCTCTAATCAATTTCACACTGCAGTCCTCCTTCTGGGTTCATCACAGCCAGGGAACTGCTTTGAGGAAGCTCACATTGCTGAAGTACACCCTTTAGGTACAGCTATGATGAAGGTGACATCTAAGCCATGCCTCAATCAAATTCAGATTTAAAAAAAATTAACCTCAAACGTAAGAGTGGGAGCAACATCTTCCCCCAAATTGATCTGTCCCTTGCTGCGACTGCAGCAGGTGTTGAAGGGGTTAAACCTAGGTCCAGAAGAGAGCTGCTTCAGAATCTTACATAGAAGACAAACAAAAACCAACAAAAGAACTGAAGATGAAGCAGCCACGTGGAGGTGGGAGCGTGGACAAGGAAGGAGACAGGAAAAGGGGAAGGTGGACTGCAGACTGAGGGGCTATGTTCTCAAGTACAAAAGTAAACTGGAGACAGAATGCAACAGAAGGAAAAAAAAAGAGAACAAGAGGGCAAGTTACACCAAGGCCCCACAGTAGGCAACTGAGGCCTACAAACCCCCAGCCAGGGTAGGGGCTTCCCAACCCTTCCACTCCCATGCCTTTCACACTTGGGACCTTCCCTCTACTGGGACAGAGGAGTTCTTCTCCCATTTCCCTCAAGGGGAGAGCTCTCAGACTGGGTCCTTTATGCGCTATTTTTAACATACCATTTCCCTGTGGAGTTTCCCAGATACTCCATCCTTCACCAGGCATTGGGAAGGTACCTTTTCCCTTAACCAGCAGGCAGAAGCTACCATTTGAACATGCAGGTACTCCCAGACCTTCAGTCCCTTAACCAAAAGGGAGAAGGTGGCATTTTCCAAGAGTTGGGGGCTCCCTGACCCTCCATTCAGATTCCATATGGTACTTACGTACAATCGCCACCATCACAATGGCACAGATCACTCCAAGCATGATCATCATCTGGGAAGAAAAATGGTGAAGGGTTAATACTCTCAGAAGGGGTTATTATGGGGTGGAGTACTGCCAAAGCATCTCATCCACACCCTAGAGACAAGAAAGCTCAGAGTTCCAGTCCTTCCATACAGGACGGCCTGGTGCAAAACAACATTTCCTCTTTCCAGCCCCCAGTGTCACAAACCTGCTTCAACAGCCAAGAGATGAACGTCCAGGTTGGATCAGGAATCTCCAAAGAAGGAGGAGCAGCAAATCCTAATTAGCAGCACAGCAAGTTTTCCTCAAATCCTAGGGCATGGATGCGATGCTGACCCAATTGATTCCAATCTCTAATCTTCTCCCCACCCCTGCAATCAGTCCCCAAGGCCTCTCATGCAGAGCAGTGAGGAAGCAGCAGGGATCTAGTGGAAGGCTGCACTCCACAATCCCTCAGGGAGGGTATGAAGAGATCCAGGTCATTCTCCTTCCTGTGCACCTTGCCTTCCAAAGAGGGCTTGGGGCAGCTTCATGCTGAAACCACAATCCTAACTGTACAAAGTTCAACTGTCTTATAACCCCAGCTTCACTTTGATGCAGTCACAGACTACTTGTGCCTGCTGACAAGGAGCAGGGAGAGGAGGTAGAAGAGAGGGAGGGTCACCACCTCAGAAAGACTCAAGTCATACACCACCCCACCCCACCCCAGGGAAACCCGCAGTGCTTCAGAGCAGCTCCCAACTTTTTCTGCAACTCCTGCCTGCCTCATAGAATCATAGAATATAAGGGTTGGAAGGGACCCCAGAAGGTCATCTAGTCCAACCCCCTGCTCAAAGCAGGACCAATTCCCAGTTAAATCATCCCAGCCAGGGCTTTGTCAAGCCTGACCTTAAAAACCTCTAAGGAAGGAGATTCTACCACCTCCCTAGGCAACGCATTCCAGTGTTTCACCACCCTCTTAGTGAAAAAGTTTTTCCTAATATCCAATCTAAACCTCCCCCACTGTAACTTGAGACCATTACTCCTCGTTCTGTCATCTGATACCATTGAGAACAGTCTAGAGCCATCCTCTTTGGAACCCCCTTTCAGGTAGTTGAAAACAGCTATCAAATCCCCCCTCATTCTTCTCTTCTGCAGGCTAAACAATCCCAGCTCCCTCAGCCTCTCCTCATAACTCATATGTTCCAGACCCCTAATCATTTTTGTTGCCCTTCGCTGGACTCTCTCCAATTTATCCACATCCTTCTTGAAGTGTGGGGCCCAAAACTGGACACAGTACTCCAGATGAGGCCTCACCAATGTCGAATAGAGGGGAACGATCACGTCCCTCGATCTGCTCGCTATGCCCCTACTTATCCTCTGCCTCTCCATGCCTGGCTTGCTGGCTCAGCTGCTCTACAGGGAGGGGCCCTGCTGCATCATGTGACTGAGCAATCTGGGGAGGCATGTGACCCTGCATGTGCCCCCCCACACACACCCCGTGGCCTCTGGATGCAGCAGAGGGAGACATGGAACAACTTCAGATCTGGCCTCATTGGAAGGTTGGGAGGCTCACCTTACAGTTCTTCCACCAGTACTTCCTCTTTAGCTTTCCTGCACTAGTTTTAAACACTGAGGCACCAGCCTCAAGTGCCTCTGCCTTGCCATCCATCTCGGTCAGCCTGATGTCTCGATCCAGCACTTTCTCCACATTCACACTCATTATGCTCACCACCTGCAAAAGAAGAAGGAAAAAAAAGCAGAATGTGTTACCACTGGCACAGAGGGAGGCAAAAAAGCAAGAACGAGATTCTAGTCCATCATACTAGTCCTAGACACTATGAGAATACAAATTAGTAGTAAGAGACCAAGCTCATGAGACTTACCTCCTCCATCTGGGCCTGGGACTGCTGCAGCCGAAGGTTACTACTCATGTTGGGGGGAGGCCCAGGGGGACCCCCACCAAGAGCACCCCCTTCTGGGGCCCCAGGAGCAGATTGCAGAGCTGGATCAGACCTGATGAGACAAGGAGACATACCCAACAGAGTAATATGGGTCCATCTATGAACCTCAGATTTAAGAGAAAAACAGAACTCAGAAGTCAAGTCCCAAACTGAAAAGCCAGGAAAAAGCTCAAGAACAGATACAGGATCTCAAACTGGGAGAGGATATGTAGTGAGTTTCCATGTGAGGGGAGGTTGTCAATCCTGGGTCCAGAACTTCTGAATATTTTCATTAATGATTTGGATAATGACATTGAAATTATGCTTATAAAATGTATGGATGATACCAAGCTGGGAGGAGTGGCAAGCACTTTGGAAGATAAGTTTAGAATTGAAAGTGACCGTAACATATTGGATAACTAGCTTGAATTCAACAAGATGAAATTCACTAAAAACCAAGCGTGATGTAGTAGATATAATTCACAACTCCAAATGCACAACTACAAGATAGCGAACAACTAGCTAGGTCAGGAGTGGCCAACCTGTGGCTCTGGAGCCACATGCAACTCTTCAGAGGTTAATATGCGGTTCCTTGCACAGGTGCTGACTCCAGGGCTGGAGCTACAGATGCTAACTTTCCAGTGTGCTAGGGGGTGCTCACTGCTCAACCCCCTGCTCTGCCCCAGGCCCTGACCCTACTCCACCCCTTCCCTCAAGGCCCCTGCCCCTTCCCCCAAGCCTGCCATGCCCTCGCTCTTCCCCCTCCCCCACAGAGCCTCCTGCGCATGCAGAACAGCTGATTGCAGCAGGCACTGACTGGCGGGGCTGCTGGCAGGCGCTGGAGTTGATAGGGGGCTGCTGATGTATTACTGTGGCTCTTTGGCCATGTACATTGGTAAATTCTCGCTCCTTCTCAGGCTCAGGTTGGCCACCCCTGAGCTAGGTGGTAGTACTGCTGAAAAGGATCTAGGAGTTATAATTGATCACAAATTGAAAATGAGTCAACAACGTGATGCAGTTGCAAAAAAGAATATCACAGAACGACATTAGCAACAGGAGTGTTTTATGTAAGACACAGGAGGTAATTGTCCCACTCTGCTCAGCACTGATGAGGCCTCAGCTGGAGTCCTGTGTCCAATTCTAGGCACAAGATGTGGACAAACTGGAGAGAATACAAAGGAGAGCAACAAAAAAGGCAAGGTTTAAAAAACTTTACCTATGTGGAAAGGTTAAAAAAAGGGGTATGTTTAGTCTTGAGAAGACTAGTGAGGGGGAACTTGATAACAGGCTTCCAATATGTTAAGGGATGTTAGAGAATTGTGATCAATTGTTCTCCATGTCCACTGAGGTAGGAAAAGTAATAACAGGCTTCCTCTGCAGTAAGGGAGAGCCAGGCGAGATATCCAGAAAAGGCTTTCAAGTGAGATTGTGGAATCCCCCATCACTGGAGGTTTTTAAAAACAGGTTGGGCCTGACTTATGTTTACTTGTCCCAGCCTCAGTGTAGGGGACTTAACTTGACCTCAAGATCCCTTCCTGACCTGCATTTCTATGATTCTATGGCACATAGCTGCCTAATGCCAGGCAACAACAAATAAGGGCCAACTTTAAAGAAAAGAAACAGAAGCGAGGGAAGGGAATTGAATCTAGCAGTAAACCTGCACGTGTGCATGCAGGACTGGAATCACAAGGCAGGCTGTTGAGATCTGCCCAGCTGGACAACACAAGTATCTTGCTGCCCCCACAGTCATCTTTAACCGATTTCTGCCATTTAGGAATCCAGGCTGCATTTCCCTGTCTAGGGAGCCAATCCAGAGACTGCAGCTACTTGAAGCATTCATCGCACAGGACCACGACAAACTTTCCCCTCCCACATCATCCAAGAAACTAACCAGCACCACCCCACTACTTGAGCAGGGACAACTAGAGCCTGCAGATTTTTCTTTTTTGGGGGGGGGTGGGCGGGCACTCTCAGAGCAGCTCCCTGGGCCTCACAGGGCAGACAAGCCGCCTCCGAATCCTAGACAAGCCTCTACAGGGGGAGGCGAGCCCATTCCAAACGCCATTACAACCTGGACAAAGAGACGCTACCCCCGCCCTTCCCCTCATACGCACCTCTTACTTTCAGCTGCATGGAGCCAGACCCACCTAGTGCCTTGCCTGACAGACACCACTCATGGGCGGGGGAGCACGAAGCAGGATCCCCAGGCAGTCCCCTAGAACATGGGACTCCATGGTGGAGCCTCTGCCTAGGACACCTGCACAGCAAGAGAGCCCCGGCCCCTGAGCCCTTGGGCGGGGACTGCGGGGGCCACGGGAAGGTTGCTGGGGGCGAGACACGACACACGGGCTGCTGCTGGCCGGGCAGAGCAGGGCAGGCTGGCGTGAGCACTGGCTGGAGAAGTGCAGAGGCCGCTGTGCAGGGCGGGTCTGGCCACAGACGTTGATGGGACACAGGCAGAGGTGTAGGAAGGGCCATGTCGTGCCAGCCGAGACTCCCACCAATTGAGGGGAGGGGGGCCAGTCCTGAGGCAGCCGGGGAGAGGCGGCCGGTGGTGGCACGCAGACAGCCCCCCTGTCCCAGGGAGATGGCGGGCCCATCCTGCGGGCCAGAGGAGCCTCCCCTCCCTGCAGGCTGCTCAGCCCCAGGCGAGACTGCAGCAGAGATCGGGGCCGCTGCCATCACTTCGCACGGGGCAGCGCCCAATCCCCGCTCAGGGGCCGCGGAGCCACAGCTGCTACAATGCGCCCCTCGGCGCCGGCACCCTGGGGAGCGCGGCTCTGCGCCCGCCCCAGCGCCGCGCCCCCCATACTCACATGGCTCGGCGCTGCGCCGGGCTGAGGACGCGCACTCAGAGCTCCGCGTCTACCCCGGCTCCGCTCCTCCGCCTGCCTGGACTTTCGGCTGTCGCGCCGCCACGCCCCCGCCCCCTCCTTTATAGTCTGGCGATATTTGACCACGCCCACCCTGGCCAAATCAACGCCGCCAGAGCACACGGCCACGCCCCCGCCTGTCTGCAACCGTCCCTTCACACCGGCGGCCGAGCGCTTCCCTCAGCGCCAGCCTCGGCACCCTGTGAGTCCCGCCGCTCCCCCTCGGTCCGCACAACCCAACAGCTACAGCCCAGCTCCCGCCAACCGCCGCGTGGCGGCGCTCCAAGCCGTTGTGCAGTGAGCTGCAGCCTCCGTTCCGGCCCACTCAGGACGTTCGCTGCCCGTTCCCTAGACCGACCACCGTGCCCGCCTCTGGCCTCGCGCCACCGCACGTTCAGGCCACGCCCACCACTTTTAAAGGGCGATTAACCCCCCCCCTCCAGCCGACGGTTGGCATGGGCGTGGCGAGGCAACCCCTCGAGGCCCCACGGCCTGAATTTAGGGAAAGCTGCGCAGCGGGAGCCGGATGATGAGTGTTTACACGGGAGAGAAGAGGACCCTGTAAACTAGAGAAAGAAGCGCAGAAAATCCAGCCGGGAGCAGACGCCGTCATTGCAGGGCCGAGCTGCGGCCGGAGATCATCAGCTGCAGCAAGACGTCATCATAGCGGTGGCGTGTGGCCGCATCAGACTGAAAACAATAATCGCCCCGGCATCACAGCCTGGTGTGCCGACGCCGCCGCAGCAAAGCAGAGTGGTTCAGCCCTGAGAGAAGTTGGGGCTAAGGACTGTCGCCCCACCCCCCAATGCGGAATACTGACATAGCCTATATATCGCCCGCCCCCCCACTTCGTGACTCAGAGAGAGACTCCACAGCGGCAGGTGACACTAGCCAAACTTCTGCCACACACCCTTCCTCTCCCAAGCATTAGCCCTGATTCCTGGTGCAGGGCTCCAGTGTGTTGATTCATTTGCCTCTCCTACTCTATAGAGATCAACTATTTATTTCAGAAGGTGAAGACAGCTAGGAGGGGAGAGGCTGTTCTAGATTTGATTTTGACAGACAGGGTGGAACTGGTTTTGAATAGGAAAGTGGAAAGCCACTTGAGTGAAAGTGACCATGAAATGGTACAGTTCATGAGTCTAAGAAATGGTAGGAGCGACAACAGCAAAATAAAGACAACGGATTTCAAGAAAGCAGATTTTAGCAAACTCAGGGAGTTTGTAGGTAAGATCCCATAGGAAGCATGTCTAAGAGGAAAAATAACTGAAGACAGCTGGTAGTTTTTCAAAGAGACGTTATTAAGGGCACAAGAGCAAACTATCCCACTGTGGAAGAAAGATTGGAATTATGGCAAGAGATCACTCTGGCTTAGCCAGATCTTCAATGATCTAAAAATCAAGAGTCCTATAAAACATGGAAATGGTCAAATTACAAAGGATGAATATATAAAAATAACACAAGTATGTAGGGAGAAAATTGGAAAGGCACAAAAAAAAGATCAAACTAGCTAGAGACATAAAGGGTAACAAGAAAACATTCCACAAATACATTAGAAGCAAGAGGAAGACCAAGGACAGGGTATGTCCATTACTCAAAGGGGGGGGGGGGTTAACAGAAAATGTGGAAAGGCAGACGTGCTTAATGACTTGTTTCAGAGTAGTGTTACAAATTATCCTTGATAGGACAAGCACACAACTGCTGCGAATTACACCTGGTAGGACACGCACAGTTCGAATCTAGGCTGAGGCACATAAACAAAGTCCACAACTGCAGAGTTCCCAAAAAACACCAAGTTTATTACGCTCGAGCGTGGTGCCCCCCTGCTAGCCAGGAGGGGACCCCGAATACAGATTATACAAAGGTTATATACTTTTTAGCAAAGCATGTTGCCCTCATGCATCGGAAACCTTAGCCAATAAACAAACCCTTTTCTTATCTACCACTTATCCCTGCTTGGTGCATTCCTCGTGCTAAACCAGTATGTTAATTACACAGCATGGTCCTAAAGCCATGCATCAGTAACTTTTATTATCAGGATAGGAGGCCTCACATCAAAGGCCAGGAGATAGGGAGTTAGAGACTGACAAAAAACAGATACTGGGAGTCAAGGCAGGCTGGAGACAAGGAGGAGGATTTTCACAGGGATGCAGTGTCTAAGGAACACTCCTCCTGGTGCATGATGTGCTTGCTTGTAGACAATGGTGGGCCCCAAACCAAAATGGAGTCACATGTGCTAACTTTTCCTTAACAGTCCTCCCTTTTTTTTTTGTACATCAGTAAGCTATATCGGGGCTGAGTAACCGCGCTGCAGGGTTAGCAACTGCCGACAGCACATACTGCAGCATTGCAGGCATACAAAAAATAACGCAAAAACAATAACAGTCAAAAAAAGTAAATACAAAATACGCCGTCCCCAAGCCCCAACATCTGGTAGCCAGTCCCAGACCTCCTTGGAATCCGGCGCTGGTAGTGTCAGGGCTGACGTGGTGAAATAGGGCTGCCTGTTGCTGGAGGATGTGGATGTCAGTTTCTACCCTATGGTGCTGATTTACAAATACACAACAGCTTGAGTTGACCAGAGCACAAACCCCGCCCTGGTTTGCAAGAAGATAATCCAGGGCTAAACGGTTTTGCAATGTAGTTTGGGAGCTGAGTTACTTCAATTTGAAAGGCAGATAGAGCATCTGCAGTAGCATTTGCCATTAGTTCCAAAGCAGCTGAAATGTTAACTATAGCTTTTTTTAGCTCGCTTACTCCCAACCATGGCAGAAACCAACGCACAAAGAAGTGAAAGCCTTTGGGCCAATAAGAAAGGGGGTTTAAAGGAATACTTCGTTGGTCCCTCCATGCTAGATTGCGGATCTCTCCCCGAGTCAGGTTCTGGTGTACTGTCATGGCGGGTACTATAGCCCCTAAGGTACATGTACCACACCATCCTGCTGGGAGAACCTTATAGGCTGTGTGATTGCATAACCAATACCAGCCAGACCCCTGGGGGACTGGCCACAGGGTCCTAGAGTAGGTGGAGGGGCCTCCCGCACCAGACCTGATTTGGGTGGTGTCCTTACACCCCACAAAATTTCCTACAAAAACTGTATTTTCTATGCCCTTACGTCATGACACACATAAAGCATAATTACCCTGGGCCAACATATCAATAGACCATATTTGGATTGTAACATTCCAGTTAAATGTAGTGTTTGGCCATAGCTTAGTTTGGAGTGTTCGATTGAGGGGGATAGGTACACCTACCAACAGGACCCCCTAACTCAAATATGTGGGGGTATGAATACAAATCCAATACTGCGTTCGATTTACACCCTGTTTGATAGCGCGGGTTAAATTCAAGAAGTTATTGCCCTCCCATCCTTGTACTGGACTTGGGAATAGGGAGAGGAACCCCCCAGGCAAACCATACGAATGTCGGCATCCTCCTTTATACCATACAAAAACACCACCAATGTAAGTCCGATAAACAGGAACACAAGAAGTCCTGGTGGGCTATAAAGGTCCCAATAGCTGGAAAGCTTAGTCCATGGGTTGGTCGTGGTGTTCATTTGTGAAGTGGCTCGTCCAATGGCTTGTCAGGGTCAGGTGGGGGTCCCAGCGCCAACTTAACATAGCTATGATGGATCCAGGAACCTTTACCTGCAAAGGAGTGGTGGCAGATGGTGGGAGTAATGTTCGTGGCTGTAAGGAGTTTTTGGTATTTATACTTGCCCACAAGCACAGATTCCAGGCCCTGGAATAAACCCACCCCACCACTTCACTGCACATTCCCAAGAATACATCACGCAACTGCCTCCCTGCCAATGTACAATCCTCCATCTTTGCCACCAAGGCCAATTTTCAGTGTCTTTTGCAGTCAGGAATCCTTGGATCTTGGTGGTTTCAGCAGAGCAGGCGTTTCTTCTTCTCTCTTGGAACGGTCATGGTTTTGCATTATACAGGGGAGAGGTTACTAGCACGTCACCCTGTAGTGCTTTGGTTTCTTTAGCAAATACTGAATGCAGGTTTCAGAGGAACAGCCGTGTTAGTCTGTATTCGCAAAAGAAAAGGAGTACTTGTGGCACCTTAGAGACTAGCTCTGTCAGTGGACAAGGGAGAGGTTACTAGCACTTCACCTTGTCCTTTTCCCTGCTGTCCAAAAGGAGGAAAGAAAAAAAAACCCAGAAGGAGGGACAGGCTGATCAGTAGTCGAAGTGAAGTCATCTTGAGGTGGAGGGGTCTTTTTGCAGTAAGAAGCATGGGTTCAGGCAGGCAGTTCTTGGCACTTCACAGCGGTGTTGGTAGTTAGCAGGACTTAATACGGGCCTTTCCAGCATGGGACCAGAGTAGTCTTTTGTTGAGGGACCTTTATGTAGACCCAGTTACTTGGTTTTAACAAATGGCAGGTTTGCTCAGCATTCTTGAAGCAGGACTCCTTTCACCTGTGAATACAGAGACCTAACACATTTCATTAATGTCTGGCAGTGTGTTGCAGATCTCACAGCTGCTTGGGCACATTCAAGCCCCCCTCTTTCTTGGCTGTTAGCCAAATTCTAGCTGTGAGTAGTGTCCTTGGGCAATCAGCGTCTTATCTTTGGACCGAGCCTGCCAGCTACAGCGTTGAGTTAGCTCGTCCTCCGTTTTATTTCTTTTCCCCTTCTTGGCTTTTATTAACCTGAAAAGGAAACTTTTACTTTTCACTCACACACCTTTGTTCAAAAATGAACACATGTACATTGCCCATTATACAGCACTTTAATCTTATTGTTTAATGTATGCCACATACACCCTTCTAGGAAAATGACTTTATTACAGAGCTGTGGAGCAACAAGCCAGGACAAGCACACCCACTTTTGAGGAGTCCACTTGGTACAACCTCTGGTGTCCAATAGCTTTTCTTCCTCCCCAGCCCTCTGGCTAGAAATCATAGAATCATAGAATATCAGGGTTGGAAGGGACCCCAGAAGGTCATCTAGTCCAACCCCCTGCTCAAAGCAGGACCAATTCCCAGTTAAATCATCCCAGCCAGGGCTTTGTCAAGCCTGACCTTAAAAACCTCTAAGGAAGGAGATTCTACCACCTC